TGCATGGAAGATTTATTGGCAAAACTTCAGCTGCTAAATGGAGCTTCAGGCAAATAGTAACCATAGAATGGTTTGGGTTGGAAGGAACCTGAAAGATCATCCAGTTCCAACCCCCTGCCATGGGCAGGGAAACCTTCCACTAGACCAGGTTGCTCCAAGCCCCTCCAACCTGGCCTCAAACACTTCCAGGGATCCAGGGGCAGCCACAGCTTCTCTGGAAAACCTGTGCCAGGGCCTCACCACCCTCACAGCCAACAATTCCTTCCCCATATCCCATCTATCCCTGCCCTCTGGCAGTGGGAAGCCATTCCCCTTGTCCTGTCCCTCCAGGACCTTGTCCAAAGTCCCTCCCAAACTCTCTTGAGAGCCCCTCTAGGCACTGGAAGGATTTTCTCTGGGTATCTGTGAGTATTTAATGTTACACCTGCAAGACTTGTAGCATTTTAATCCTGCACTAAACTTTAGTACTGAAACAGCTGGTCTGCAAAAGGTGTTTCCCAGATTTTTCCCTAAAAATCAGAACAGGGAGAAAGGACTTTCCTGGGAAAGAGAACAGGAACAGTAGAAGATTTTCTCTACCTTTCCTTGAAATATTTCAGTGTTTGATGCTAAACTAACACTGAGGTAGGGAGGCCAGCTGGGAGGATGGGATTTGATACAGCTCTTTCTGGGAGAAATAGGAAGAGTTCCCTTTGTTGCAGTGTTTGATCTGTTCAGTAACAGGCAGGTAAACATGCTGCATTTCCCTGGTCCTTCTGGAAGAGCTGAGGGTAACAGAGCAGAGCAGGCAGAAAATCAGCAGTTGGAGCAGCTGCACAGGGATCAGGGGAGCAGCTGACTGGGAAAAACATCGGCTGCTGCCTCATTTATTCTGCTGTGAGATGTTTGAGCTTGTTTGGTCTGTGGGAGAAGCCCTGGGAGGTGGTTATATGGGTTGGGAATATGGGAAACTCAAGGAAACTCAGTTTGTGGGGAAAGCCTTGTGAAGACCTTGGATGGAGAAACAGCTCTGTGAGTGTTCAGTCCCACTGGTCCCCAAAACGAGGTGGGAACTGGGAGGGAGGAGAGGAGATGGAAAAAGAGAGAGGGGTCTGGTCATGTTGCATCCCACTATTCCTTTTTTTTTTTTTTTTGTAGATGATTCCTGTTTTTCTGTTTTCAGGCAGAACCAGCAGGTGCTTCCTCTAAGCACACGATAGATCCTGTGGATCAGCAGGCAGTGAGGGTTGTTTCCCAAAGGGAAACCAGTGGGAAAAGGGCTCCTTTAATCAGGAATTCCTTGATGTAGGTGCAGTGAGAGCAGGAGAAGCGTTCAACAAGCTCAGGGTGAGGCACCCATTACTTATAACCTGACCATGAGGTGCAGCCACAGAGCAGCCACTTGGGTGTTGTGGGTTTGGGAGGATGAGTTGTTATTTTTTTGTCATTTGGGAGTTTTTTTATTTAATAGTATTTAATTAAGACTCCCACAGACCCTTCAGAGGGAGCAAAAAGACAAGAGTGCAAGAGGGAGCAAAAAGACAAGACATCAGCTCCTAAAAAATTGATTTTATTACAGTGATGCCATTTAGGAGAGAAAATTTGATAGACAGATACATTTTTCATGTTTAAATTCCAATGAAAAAAATCACTGATTTTAGGAAATGCGAAGCCACTTGTTGTTTTTAAAAGGTATTTTTATATGGAGTGTTAGGATATATACCAAGCTGTAACTGCAAAAGGGATTTGAAAGCATTTCATGTTGCAGTTGCTGGACTAAAACTCTGTTCAAACCAAACTTTCCTTTTACAAGTTAGAATATTTTATGCTAAGAAAGCAAATCAGGACTAAATCATAGAATGGAATGATAGAATGGCTTGGGTTGGAACAGACATTAAGCATCATCTAGTTCCAACACCAATAAATATTACCTTATCTTCATATATTACTTAACAAAACGGTTTTTTAGCTGGGACTTTAAATGAATATACTTTTTCTTTTAATTTCTTTTTTTTTTTCTTACTACACACCAAAAAGGTTTCTAATCTTAGTGCTGGCACAGAACTTTTGGCAGGACACCAACATCCATAAGTGCTCACTGCAGGTAGAGGGCTTCTGGTTTGGCAGAGCAGCAAAACCAGACCATTTCACAGTACCTGGAAATCTGGAGGATTTCCTGCTTCCACTCCACAGTTAAGTTTGGTAACCAGGAATTTGGAGTTTAGGAATAATCTCCATCAGATGATTCAGTTGAATCCAGTGCTTGGACTCTGCTTTGCAAACTTCCAAGTATGCAGCTATTTGGAAATCCATGCACAGTTTCTTAGTCGTTGTCCATGTTTTTGCCTGTCTTCCCAGTAACAGCATATATGTAAGGAGCAGGACAGTGAAAAACAGGGTTGGACTCAGTGTCCAACCAGGATTTTCCAAGAATATTCTGGTTTATGCCTCCAGATTGCAACAAAAAAAGGAGTTTATAATGGAAATGCCATAGTGTCAGAAGATTTTTTACCCGCTCTGTACCTGGGGGGGGAGATGACACAGTATCATTCTTCCTGGAAGTTGTCTGCTTTTCCAGGGAAATAGACTGTGCAGGAATGGGCTACAGGAGAGTAGAGTACAGGGCTGTTGAGCAAGTTGCTGTTAAGGTCCCTGGTGGCAGGATGATGGATGTTGGGTACTTTGGAGGGTATCCCAGCAGCCACCCATGGAAAGTGCTGGAGTTCTGTGTCCAGCTCTGTGGTCTCCAACGTGAGGAGAACGTGGAGCTGCTGCAGCAAGTCCAGAGGAGGCCACAGAGATGCTCCAAGGGCTGGAACCCCTCTGCTCTGGAGCCAGGCTGGGAAAGCTGGGGGTGTTCACCTGGAGAAGAGAAGGCTCCAGGGAGACCTGAGAGCCCTAAAGGGGCTCCAGGAGAGCTGGAGAGGGACTTGGAACAAGGGATGGAGTGACAGGACAAGGGGAATGGTTTCCCACTGCCAGAGGGATATTGGGAAGACATTGTTGGGTGTGAGGGTGGTGAGGCCCTGGCACAGGATGCCCAGAGAAGCTGTGGCTGCTGCTGCATCCCTGGAAGTGTTAAAGGCCAGGTTGGAGGGGCTTGGAGCAACCTGGTCTAGTGGAAGGTGTCCCTGCTCATGGCAGGGGATTGGAACAAGATGGTCTGTAAGGTCCCTTCCAACCCAAACCATTCTATGATTCTATATCAGTGCTCCCTCATTTCACTGAGCTCCTGGCAGGAATCCCAAACCACTTTGATTTCAACTGATCCCTGCTATTTTGTTCTGGGTTTTAATCAAAACCTTTTTAAATTGAGAAACTATCAGCCAGCCAAAGCTAGTCCTGATTGATATTTTCAGCTCCAACTCTTGCTGAAAACTCTGTTTATTCATGTGTGAAAATGATGCCCACAGTCTGTATAGACCCAAGTGCAAGAAGAGGCAGCACTACAGTCAAAAATACTTGAAAATAGGTGTTCTGATACTCATTTCTCCAAGCTGTTGCAAGGCTTTGTTAATCATTTCACAGCACTTCAGGCATCAGGTTTATTGTGTGGATCCTCACTCAGTAAAATGTGTATCAAACACTGACAGTCCTGGTGCTATTCATATTTATATTCAGTAATGACTCAGGCTCTTGAAAAATCATGTTGAAATTACATGTTCTATAGCTTTAATTTCCCGTTGCTAACAAGGGAATGATTTGCAATTTCTTGTTTGTCCTCCTCTGTGCCATAGCCTGGAAGCATTGCTTGGTTTCCATGCTGAGTTTCACAGGCAAAGCTGCTTTTTTTTTTTTTTTTGCATTGGCCAGTTCCCAAATCTCCTGTCTTTCAACATTTCTCTCTAAAATACTTGTGTGAATCTGAACCTCTTTATCCTATAGCATAGGATTCCGAGCAGATAAGCTTCTCAGAGACTCATAGGACCAATATATATTTACTGCTGTAGTACTATGGATTAGTCTGTGATGTTTAAAAACCATGTTGCATTCCTTTCCCCCCCCCCCCAAAAAAAAAACTCTCCTTAAACCCTGTAACTAGAAGAGTATTTTTCTTGGCACTGTTTGTATAAAGGGTTCAAATTCTGTCTCTGCCTTGTCTCATTTTTGCTTTTTCTCTTCCTGTATTATCGTTTTACCTGAGATGAGGCTTTTTATTCTTTAGCAGCATTCTTTCCTTCAGATTCCTCTGGAAGAATTTGCAGTAAGTGCAGGTGTAGGAGGGGAAGGAGGACACAAAACTCCATCTCCTGGCAGCCAGGCAGGGGAATGAAAGGCTTGATGACTTCAAGATCCAAAAGCAATTCGAGGATTTTTTTTCCCAGAACCCATTCAGGCTCTCACTGTAGTATCTGAGCACTTCCATTTTCATGGATTTCTCTTCCCGGTGCCCTGCAATGAGGTAGGAATGCTGTTGCTCACTTTGATAAATGGAGGAAGTGGGTCTGACTTGTTTAGGGTAATGCCAGGATTGTGCCAGAGATATGAGTTGATTCCAGGTCATGTGTAGCTCAGGCCCCTTCCATCCTCCTTAAGTTAAAAAAGGAGCTGAACCTCTGACACGGGAGAAATGTTCAGAGCTGTGAAAAAGTGGAGAAAATGAGGGAGAATCAAGCCAGAAGGGAAATACCACTGTGTTAAAAGTCACTGCTGTGCTGGTGAAAACCATGTCCCTTTGTTCACCTCAGAGGATGCTGTGAAGTACTTTAAGCAGAACTGTCATTTATTGAAGTGTTTAGTTCAATTCAATGCCTTGGGCCATGTGGTGTAGCAGTTCTGGGGTCACCACATGTCCTGTGTGGTGGTCGGTGCTGGCTCTGGAGGGGGGAGGTGAACCACTGGAGTCAGTGACAATCAGCCAAGCTGTTGCTGCCGGCCTTGAGATTGTGCTCATCTTCCCAGCCAAAGTGCACAGACCTCCGTGCTCATCCTAGGAAGGGGTCAGTGTAGGATGTGAACGTTCCTGAACACCAACAGGAGTAATCAAATGTTGATGTTTGACTGTCACCCTCTTGAAACAGCTGGTGAAGGGGCTGCAGCAGGAGCTGAACCGGCTGTACACGCTCTTCTGCTCCCGGAATCCGGAGTTTGAGGAGAAAGGAGGGAAAGTCTCCATCGTGTCCCACTCACTGGGCTGTGTCATCACCTACGACATCATGACTGGCTGGAATCCAGTCAGGCTTTATGAACAGTTGCTGCAGAAGGAAGAGGAGGAGCTGGAAGACCGTTGGATGAGCTACGAGGAGCAGCGTTTACTTGAGGAACTTTACCTAACTAAACAACGGTAATGCATCCACTTCCAGTTGTTAAAGGAGAAAACCACAGCCCTAGATAACGCCCTTGGAGTGTTTCCAGAACCCTCCATGGCTGTTATCTTTTGTGGGTGATGTTCTGCTGGGGCTGGGTGGTAGATGCTAAAAACAGGACTGGACAGGCCCTGCTGGAGGAGCTCTGAATCCACACAGACTCATGGAATGGTTTGGGATTGGAAGGGACCTTAAAGATATCCACTTCTGCCCCCTGCCATGGGCAGGGACACCTTCCACTAGACCAGGTTGCTCCAACCCCTGTCCAACCTGGCCTTGGACACTTCCAAGGATGGGAATATCAAGGTGTTATGAGACACCCATTAGATAGAGAATCTAATAACAGTAACTTGAGCTTCAGTCTTTCAAGTGGGACATGATAAATCATGAATCATAGTTTTTTGGTTCCTTCCTGGAACCTATCTCAGTATTGGTGGTACTTTGGAAGCATTAATACAGCAACAGATCTCCTGCTGTGCTTGCAATCAGGATGGGATGTGTGTTATAAGGGAGTGGTACAGGGCGTCTCTATCAGCTGCAAGGCTGGATAAAGTTTAATATTTCTGAGAGAAGGGAAGTTAAGAAACCTAATGAAGTGTTCCAGTGGTAAAATGATCCTTCAGGCATATGCCTGGCTTATGATCAGGGGGAAATGACCATTTTCACACTCATGCTCCAGCTCCTTAGTCATCCTCTGAAGTGCTTCTGGTTGGATCCACAGTAATCCCGAGTATCATTTGACACTGGCACTTCTGTATAGAAAGAGTGGCTCTCTATTTCTTGAGCCATTTTAATTCAGTTCAGTCTGAAATAATGGAAAACAGACTGTAACTTCTGGAATTCTACTGGGAGTGGGGACAGTTTTGCCCATCCATATGTGAGCTTTATATTGTAGCTGCTTTTTTAGTTTGGGATAACTAGAAAAACGGATGAACGACCATTTTTAATGATAGCTGAAAGGTGGGACACAGTCCTCCAGTGTTCCACTGCAGTAATGCTCAAGCCATGAAGTTTCCCGTGGCTTTGGTGTTGTTTGGGTTTTTTAAGCAAAGTAAAGCAGGTGATTTGGCTGCAAAATCACCAAGGAAACAGGAGGTGAGTCACCTACTCCTGAGGAAGGAGGGTGGGCAGATGCTTTGGGGGGGTGAACAAGGGAGCTGTCACGTGTCGATTGATTCCTTCTGTGTTCAGAGGAACAGGATTTGACATACATTGATTCTTAATCAGTTGAGCTGCTCCAAGAAATACTGACACCATCACTCTCTCTTCCCAGCAGACAAAACTGTTGGACCCCACAGGAATGCCTGTTTGGATCAGAGAGGTTAAAGCTACATTTTTTATTGGATCTCAGAAAGATCTCTATTTTCTAGGTTGAGAGAGATAGAAGAGAGGTTACATGGGTTAAAGGCATCCACCATAGCAAAACCACCTGTCTTAAAATTTAAGGTATGTATGTCTGAGAGGTTTTTCCTGAATGTCCTACTTGCTGCAAAAATACTGCAATGAGTCATTCTGCTTACTTTTTTTTTTCCCCATGTCCCTAGGCATGATTTTGGTAGAATAATTGGAATGTGTTGGATGAAGTGTGTGTATGTGTGTGTAAACATGGTGCTTTATTAATATCTTACTATTTGTTACAAATACATATTTGTAATAAATTTAGAGCAACCTGGTCTAGTGGAAGGTGTCCCTGCCCACGGCAGGGGGTTGGAACAAGATGGGCTTTAAGGTCCCTTCCAACCCAACCCATTCTATGATTCTGTTATATGTGTTCATGGGTAGTTATATGTAAACATGTATCTAAATATATAGATAATAAATACATGTAATATGTAAACTTGTATATAGATTGTTACTGTATTACACACACACATACAACTCTATGGGAAGGTAAAAGCCATTTGGGAAATTACATTGATCATGTATCTTAAACAAATTCACTTCTACTAAGTTGAATAATCCATTTTCCTTGGGGACTACTACTAACATGTCACATCTCTGAGCAAATCTGATTGAATTTCCTCCAGCAGTGGATTTTCCTTCCAAATTATTCTGGTCTGACAGTCAGCACACTTCTAGTCTCATGAAACAGATTGCTTGCTAATCAGCTGTACAAATTACTAGAATTCCTTATCGCTGGGAAAAGGCATTTTCCGGTTTCTGGGTGGGATGTGTGACACTTTCTAGTTGCTCAACTCAATCCTGAAATATTAAACCATAAAAATGTGACATGATAGATGAGAATAAAAGAGATTATTGTTTCTTAACTTGCCATTTTTCTTTCCTTCTGAGTTCAGAAGGGCTCCTGGAAGCCAAGGTCAATCTTGAGCCATAAAAAAGAGGAAACGAACTATAATTCATTTTGTCACATCCTTCTCCTTTTCATCACTGCTTGAAAGCATGTGTCAGGCTGTTATCTCCACCATCAAGGAAGCTGGAGTCAGGCTGATACTCCCCCAGCTCTGTGAAAGATTAATCTTCACTCAGTTGTGTTTAAACTGAAGGTTTTTTGAACAGTTGCTTTTTTGAGATGGAGCAGGAAAGGAGAGGGAAAGAAAGAGGGAAGAAAAGAGGACATTATCTATCTAAATAGATCAGATAGATAATTTTCAGGTAATTTTTCCAATGCAGTACATCCTTTTTCTTACCCTTGCTGACCAGGAGGATGTTTTGCTCTGTGAAGCTTTACACAAGTGACTCCTGTTGGTGGGGACAGAGCTCCAGAAAGGGAGAGGCTTTCCATGGAAGTGAAATAGGATTGCTCATCAGCAAGGCAGTCCAGCTTGCAGAGGGTGACTGGCTTGTTGAAAGAGAACAAACTGCTTCGTAGGTACCAACCACCTCCCCTTGGCTCTTCATGGCAGAGCAGAGCTCTGGTTTGATCAGGAGCTGCTGTTCACCACAAAAAATGCTTGATCCACTGATTATTTGGTCTGTGCAATGCAGGAGACTGGAGTCTTTGGTCACTGATCTCCTTAGGCTCTATTACTCCATGGAATGGGCATGTGGAGCTGTACTGGCTCTTTTATGGAATGAAACAAATTAAGCTTCCCAGGATGAGACAGTCACTGGTGCTGTTTGAAGAAGAGTTAAGCTTTGCTTGATGTTGAGTGAGCACAAAGGTAGCTTTTGGCAAGACAAATGCAAGAATAAATACAGCAGCTTACTTTGTATTTAATACTAGAGGAAACTATCTGGGTGTTTGACTGACCCTTTGGAGAGGAGAAAAACCTACAAAACATAAAGATATGGAGTCCAGTACTACATTGGACAAGCCACCAGAATGGGAACTTGAGGGTGAGGTATCTTTGTCTCTTTTCCTCTCTCTTCCTCTCCTTCTCCTCAGATGGGATTATCTGCTAAACCAATAGGAGCTGTGTGAGTTAAAAGCAAAGCCAACACCTATTGTAAATGTAAAGCTTAAAAGGACAGTCTTCTCCTCACCAGATATGTCAGAGGAATTGGAGTTAAAGGCTAAAGAGGCTGGAGAACATGAAAACATGGGGAATGGTGTGATACCCTTTATGACTCTGTGGTGTATGAAAATAGCAGTGTTGTAGGGTGATTTTCAGTCCGTCGGGAAGAGGAGGGCAGGATGTACCTCAGTGGCTCCTTAGTTCTGAGGTGGGAATTCATTTAAATCTGGGCTTGCAGTGTGCTGGCCCAAAGGGCTTCAGGGTTCCTGAGCACTTCTCATTTACCCAGGGTTACAGAAACTCTTCTGGAAGAAGCTCCAGCTTGTACTTCACGTTCATTTATCCCCCCCCCCTTCATGTACCAATGCACAGAAGGGCTGTGCTGCCTCACTCCTGTTGACTCATTCAGCTTTTTTTTTTTAATCTAATTATGAAAATACTGCAGTCTTAAGTTGAATGGATGACCATTTGGCTCAGCTTCTGCTTAAAATACAAATAAATTCATTAAGTGTTCTCTTTATGAATCATAACCAGGAGAAAAGTACTGCACTGAAAGGTCGTGTTCATAAACATGTCTCCTCTGTTGCTGAACATTTACAGGAACAGACGTGAAATGCCCCACTCCTGCTTCTAGAGAAACACCAAAATTAATACATGTTTGCTATAAAGATTTTAGTCCTTTCTATAAAGATTTTAGTCTTCTGTTCCCAGTAGGTGTCATCACACAGCAGCCTGATTTTCAGCCACGTTCCAACAGCACTGACAGTCTAATGGCTGCAATTTAAAGGACTTTGTTTTTAAAATCACAGAATAACAGAATTTTTAAGGTTGGAAAAGACCTGTTCTCCACTAAACCACGACCCCAAGTGCCACATCCACACGGCTCTTAAGTCCCTCCAGGGATGGTGACTCCACCACTGCCATGAGCAACCTATTCCAATGTCTGACCACCCTTTCAGTGAAGACTTTTGATTTTTAGCATTTACTGCTTCAGTATTGGTCTGGTGCCACCTACTAAGATGCCCACCAGCTGGTACTTTGACTCTGTAAGCCGGAGGACCAGGTTGAAAGGCTTTTTGCATGTAAGAAAGCACAGCAAGGAGCGGTGCCCTCCAAGAAAGCATCTGGACACCGCTGATCTTGTGTTTATCAATAGAAACAATGGAACAGAAGTGGAACAAAAAGCCACACACTGTGTAACCACTGAAACCAGTTACCTTTTGAGGTTTTTCTCAGTCTCTTTTGAGCCTCTGCTAAGTGTAAAGCTGGCAGGCACTGTCTGATTTCTTTCTAAAGCAGAAAAACCGTAATTGTGCAGTTCAGATGCTCGACACAGGAATATCAGATGGGCAGGGTTAAAGGTTACTTATTCAATTTAAGGGATTGCACTGGGAATATCTGTTTCTATTGTATTTGAAGATGAGACAGCTCTTTGTCCAGACTGCCAGAATGTAAAGTCTGTGTAAGGCTGAAGAAAGGAAAACAGCTTTGCTCTAGACCCGAGTGACAACACAGATGACAGAGCTGTGCTTTGCTGCAGGTGACATTGAATAGCCATGCTGAACACCTGGAGTTTCCTTTTTCCATTGAACTGGCACTTAGGCATTCTTTTGGAAGGCAGAGCTGGGGTACCAGTGCCAAGTCAGAGGAGGAGGAATGTTTTGTGCAGCGCTGGAATCTGAGAGATGAAACGGACCATTATTCCTACGCCCTCGCTCCATGTGCTAACATACAGAGAAGGCACATGGGATCCCAAGCATCCCATTTAGCAAGAATCCAGCAATTTCTCTTGCTGGTTGAGTAGCAGCACACTAGGAGTTGCCCAGTTGTAGTGCCCTGCACTCTGGGCACTCCTAGGGAAAGTGAAGATCTGATTATGGTAAAATTTTATTTTTTTTTTTTTAAAAAAAGGAGGTTAAAAAGTAATTTTGACTTATGGAAATATTTTTTACTACCGGGTTGTATATTTGATGTTTTTAGGAGACAATGTCTGAGGATTGGTAATGGGATACAAAGCCATTCACCTCTAGGTCACCGTTGAATCCCAGCCTCAGGTTGGCAGTGACCAAAAGTTGTTACCACTGATGCAGGCTCAGTGACCTCTGGCAGATGTGTCAGGTCAGGTTTACTTAATTGCCCATTGGTGTTGGAGGGAGGACTTAGAGCAAGGTCACAGCAGCTTTGGGTGATGTGAGGATCCCTCATTGCTGTCCCTGTCCCTGGGCTGTGGTTCCCAGCGTGGGATGGGGTGGCACTCGTGACAAGCACCATTCTGTTCACTGGACACCAGGTGTTTTGAGGTGTGTGTAGCAAAAAAAATCATAAGAGTCCTAGGTTAGGGATAAGATTAAAGAGGTGTGGTTAGCTTTGGGAAGGTTCAGGAGAAATCAGACTCATCGTAGTTCCTTGGTGTCATCCAAACTCTTCTTGCTGCAGCTTTTCCAGTGTTGGTAGAACTCTGAGTTCAAATATCCGACTTGCTTTTTGGTTTTCCAGCTGTGTAGCACCACAACATGCAGCCAAAGGAAATGGGAAATTGAACCTCCGTGTCTGTATGTTATAGTGGCCTTCTCCATTTTGACTGACTGATATTATCTGAGTCCCTCTTTGAAACCGAGAAATCAGTTGTGAGAGAAATCAAATCCCGCTGTGTTAAAAAGCATCATTTCCATCCTTATTAACATGGATGAAATCTCTCCTTAGGTTGAGAATTTCTTCTGTATGGGATCTCCATTAGCAGTGTTTTTGGCACTGCGTGGCATCCGTCCAGGAAACAGTGGGAGTCAGGACCATATTCTACCCAGGACAATTTGTAATCGCTTATTAAATATTTTTCACCCAACAGATCCAGTGGTGAGTCTTAATTGCAGCTTTTACCTTGACTGTTTTTAAGCATCAGCTCTCTCATAATGTGTGATCTGCAAAGTGTGTGAATCAACACCGAGTGTGTGCCAGCAGAGGACAATTTGTTAATGAGTATTGTACAATGTCTCGGGTTTTGGAACTGTAGAATAACAATTCCTACAAATAATTGCCTGAGGTATCATATATTTTGCTTCTCTTTTCATATTAATAAGCACAGTATTTGAGATTACACTGATTATTTTTTGTTGCAAAGAAATAATCCTTTTCAGATGAGGATTTTGTGTTTAACTTTCTGACTTCCATTAAATATCATCTGTTCAAAGACAATACTGCTGTTAAAAAAGGCTTCACAAGCAGTTTACAAGATGCTACAGAAAAAAAAAAAGACTGTTTTTTTCCCAAATGATCCTGAATAACAGCTTGTTAGAGGTGGGATAGTACTTGGAAGAGAATTATTGGTGTAGCTTTACCCTGTCCTTACACTCTTCCATAGACAGCCTACATTATCTGTTACAAAAGGCAGGATGATGAAACTGCATCACCTTGGCAACTTCTTTGATGCAAACCTGATTTGGAATTTGATGTAGAATAGCAATTGGGGGATGCTTTTGCATTTAAAGTGCTTCACCTTAAGTATATTCAGACTTCTTCCCAAACATGCTGGTTCTTGCTCATCTCAAGGTCGTGTTCAGCTCCAGCTACTCCAAAATCAGAATTTTCCTGGGATGTGTAGAACATGGTCAGTCTGTGATCCCACAAATAGTAACTTCACTTGGTTTTAAGATAAAGAAGTGCAGAATGTTTTTCTACACTTAAGTAAACAAAGAAAAACAATGAATCAATAGAAAATTATTTTTTTAATAAGCGGAATTGACGATTTGCGCAGGGGTCAACAAAGAGTCATCAAACAAAACATTTACACAGCCAGTTCCTCCCTCTCTGTTGTGCAAAATCAGCTTAACTTTATATAAAGTTTGCTCTGGCAGTGCATATTAAAATCCATCTGAAAGGAACTTGTGTGTTGCTGACAGTCAGGTACAGGTGTTGCATGTGCGAAAGCGAATGCACAAACAACCGGGCAGTTCATAAATCTTCCAGGTGAAAGTAAACTTCCCTGTGAAAATAAAAGTGAATCAGACCATAACACCAAAACTCTGTCACCTTCTAGGCTTTGCTTCTTACAGATATTTTGGATTTGAGGTTGGAGAGGACTCTGTATGTGAAAAGAACGTGATTATTTTTTAGTCTTGACACTAAAAGGTTGTTTTGTTGGTTTTTTTTTTTTTTTTTTGATTTCCTCTTGCAGGCCTATAGGTTAGAACCTTTAATTCTGAAGCACTACAGCAACATTTCGCCTGTCCAGATCCACTGGTACAACACGGCAAACCCTCTCCCTTACGAGCACATGAAGCCAAGTTTCCTCAACCCCACAAAAGAACCTACCTCAGTTCCTGACAGCGAGAGCGCTTCGGCGGCACCGAGCCCGACCACGTCCCCGGTGATGGTCCGGCGGCACTACGGGGAGTCCATCACAAACATAGGCAAAGCCAGTATATTGGGTAAGGTCCTTTGTGCCCTTTGGGTCGGGAACAGGAGCCCCCTGTGGAGCTTCACTGCTCCGTGGTGCTGAGTTACAAGCAAACTCTGCTCTGGGGACAGGCTGGGAGAGCTGGGGGGGTTCACCTGGAGGAGAGAAGGCTCCAGGGAGAGCTGAGAGCCCCTTGCAGGGCCTAAAGGGGCTCCAGGAGAGCTGGAGAGGGACTGGGGACAAGTGCCTGAAGGGACAGGACACAGGGAATGGCTTCAAATTGCTAGAGCACAGGGTTAAATGGGATATTGGGAAGAAATTCCTGGCTGGGAGGGTGGGGATGCCCTGGCACAGGTTGGGTAGAGAAGCTGTGGCTGCCCCTGAATCCCTGGAAGTGTTCGAGGCCAGGCTGAGGTGGGGCTTGGAGTGACCTGGTCTAGTGGAAGGTGTCCCTGCCCACAGGACAGGGCTGGAATTAGGTGATCTTTAAGGTCCCATGATTCTACTCCTGTCTGTTTCACAGAATCAGAGAGGTTTTGTTTAATTTTTTTGTTTTAATCCTAGCTGATGTTTTACTTCAAAGAAAAAAACAGTTTACATATGCTGGAGTCAGGGCTTGCTGGAAGATGATGTAGTTTATGCTATTGTTGCCTTACTTTTGTCTCTCTTATTGAAGTAACATCCCAATGATTTAATAGTTTCCACTCTATTTCATGGAAAAAAAGTTAAATTAAAGCTTGTGTTCTGACTACGTTTTCTGGTATTGGTGAATAAGAGAAAAATCACACCATGTAAACTATTAGAGTTATATTTAACTCATGATTCTACAATAGGAAATTCAGGCTGTTTTAATATAAAGTCTGTTCCCTTCTGGCTTTCTCAGTCAAAATAAGCCCTGGTTTAAGTGAGCTTAAACCTCCTTCACTGGAGCTTATACTTGAGCATGCACTTGCAGTTTTTGTTGACTCAAGGCTTTTCTTTAGCTCTCTGTGTGGGATTTGGAAGAATCTCAGTGCCAGGAATCTTCCCAATCAAATAAGTAAAGTATATAAACGCAGTCTAGTCCTTAAGTAGAAATATGTGGTATTTCAAAGCAGGGTGGCTTTTTTTTGGGGTTACTATAGTAACTTTAATGTCTTGTCCATGAGGTGGCAGCAAAGTCGGGATAAAACACGACACGACTGCTCTTAACTTTTACGCTGGTCTTCCTGAGCAACCAAAATAGTCCTTTTAAGGGATGATATAACATTTTTAAATGTCTGTAAGGGCAATGCCAACTTAAGGACCCTTAACCAGAAGAATGCCTTAAATGTCCTGATGGGATTCTTAAGTGCAGGAGGAGCCAACATTGCTATAAAGCATTTTGTCTTTGACTTTTTATGAGAGAGAAATTACAGCCTGTCCTTTGAAGTACCAGATTTCTCGCAGCAGAAGTAATCTCATGTGTTTTTTTTCCCCCTAAATGCAGTTTCCAAATTACAGCTTTTGCTTGTGCACAAGATTAGTCTTGGGATAAACAGTGCACTCTTCAGTCAGCGCACTCTTCAGTCAGATGAGCTGTTCCCACCCTAGAAAAGCACCGAGGAGTGTTTTCAGTCGCCTGTCACTCAGCTCTAATTAGTGGGTGCTACACTGACTTTAATTTGCAGTTTGATTTATGCTCCTTGGGGTTTTTTTTCCCCTCCTTGCCGGATGCAGGAGCTGCGAGCATCGGGAAGGGCCTCGGAGGGATGCTTTTCTCGAGGTTTGGCCGGTCCAGCACAACCCCACAGACAATGGAGACGGGAAAAGAAGGAGCTGAGGGAGAGGACAAGAAGGCCACAACTGTTGGGACACCACCTTTACCCCACAGCAGCTCGGGCTTCCTCGAACCCACAGGTGGGTGATGAGTCCACCTGATAGACTGGCACAGGTTGCCCAGAGAAGCTGTGGCTGCACCACAGCTGGAAGTGTCTAGGGCCTGGAAGTGTCCAGGGCCTGGAAGTGTCCAGGGCCTGGAAGTGTCTAGGGCCTGGAAGTGTCCAGGGCCTGGAAGTGTCCAGGGCCAGGTTGGACGGGATAATGGAAGGTGTCCCTGCCTGTGGCAGGGGGTGGAATGAGATGAGCTTTAAGGTCCCTTCCAACCCAAAGCATTCTGGGATTCTGTGAATCTGTTCCTGTGTTTTGAATTTCTCAAGACTCCAACGACTGACTCTTTGTTCTTCCTTTAATCTTTTTGTCCTCTCAAAGGAAGTTTATATGTGTACATACATGTACACCATATGTACGTGTATGTACATATACCTATAGGAGTTTGGGCTAATGGGATCTGCATATCAGTAATTCCTAGATTTCCAATAGAAAAGCAATATAATTGCTACATGGAACCCCACTTACCATTTATGATTAAATGGATTTATTTAAATTTTATAGAATGGTTTGGGTGGGAAGGGACCTTAAAAGACCATCTTGTTCTACCCCTGCTGTGGGCAGGGACACCTTCCACTAGACCAGGTTGCTCCAAGCCCCGTCCAACCTGGCCTTGAACACTCACAGGGAAGAATTTCTCCCTAATCTCTAACCTAAACCTGCCCTCTGTCAGTTTAAACCCTTTCTCCCCCATACATTTCCTATTTCCCCACGCAATTCCAATTCTGAAGCAATCTGGATTTAAAGACACATCATACTGGAAGCAGAAGTTACCTCCCTTGTCCTGATCTGAACCACCCAGAACATAAAGTGCAATTTTAGCAGCTGAGGGTTTTTTTTAAAAATAGAGGTACTTCCTTTAAGGGAATTCATTCTTGATTTTATTTCTGAAGTCCCCATCACTGCAGGGTGGGGGGGTTTTTGCAATCAGAGGAGTCACAAGTGTGTTGTATCTTGTGACAGCGTTCACATGATGGATTGTTGTCTGTTCATCACAACAGATAACCTGTCTGAGTCACTGTTTGAGGACAAGAAACTCATTTTAGGCTCGAGGGAAATAGAGGGGCAGGACAGTGACTGTCACGGAGCTGCCCACGAGCTCCTTCCGGGGGCGGCTGGCACGTCCAGGGCTTTCTGCATGGATCCCACATCCCTCTGTGCTGAAAGCCATCCCTGCTCCATAGAAGGAGAACGTGGAGCAGAGGCCAGCGAGGCTGAATGATGCAATCCACAGCCAAGGGCTTTGCTTCTGAGAGGGCGGCTTGTGGTGGGGTTTGGCAGCCGCCCAAGTCCCGTAACGGCCTCTCTGAGCCGGTCGGGGTGTCCTTCCTGCAGAGCCACTGGGGTTTTTTTGCATATACACATCTTCCTGGAAATGACTGTGGTTGTCTCCTGGTATTCCAAGGCTCTGAATCCCTCTCCTTGCTGCAAAGTGGGGTGATGCTCCTGGGAGAGCACGGAGACGTGTCGTTCTGTGCCGGTGCTTGTGCGATGCTCCCTTTATGTGCTCTCGGAGCCAAGAATTAAAATTCTTTCAAACTGGCTTTGATAAATGGCTGTATTTTTGACTCAGTATGGGGGGCTGGCTTTTGTAGCTAAGCAGCCCTTTAGTTTTTTTGTCCTTTTTATTCTATTGCTCCTTGTAGAGATTTTTCTGATCACTAAAGTGCCTTAACAATGGATTAACCATCGGTCCAGTTAAAATGCAGTAGAAATTGCTTTGAATGTGGCATTAATCAAAGAGCCATTGAAATAAAAGGATAACTGCTGAAATATATTTGGAATAATCAGGATATTAAAAGGGCTAGAGCTGTGGAGGGACAACTTTGCAGAAAGGACTTGTAGTATTGGGTGTAGTCTCCTTGTATAAACACTAAAAATGAAAGAAATCCATTTATTTCAGAAAGTTCTGAGCACCCACCTTCTGAAAGACAGTGTTTCCTAGTGGGGCCTCAGCATTTGCTGAATATTTCTCTGTAGTTATCATAACAAGTATAAATAAATGTATTTATAGAGTTACTATAAGGAAAACAGCTGCTTAAAAACATGCCAGCTTTTCCCAAGCTTTAGAATCATAGAATCATATAGGTTGGAAAGGACCTCTAAGAACAGGTTTAGTTTCCTTTTAGCTTTTGTTTTCCTGAGCTAAGCACCACTCTTAGGTCAGGTTTGTGCTAAATGCATGTGCATTAAAATGTATTTGTATATTAATAAACTTTGATTTGGTCGAGTGTCCTGTGAAACGTAAACACAGAGATATTACGTTTGTTTTATGTACAACAAGTAGAATCAGAACCCAAAGCTGATGGCAAAACATGCTGGTGTTTTTGCAGTTCTAACACCATTTTTGTTTTGTGTTCATTTTCCAGTGGAACTGGAGCACAGGATCGACTTTGAGCTCAGGGAAGGTCTCGTGGAGAGCAGATACTGGTCTGCAGTCACATCCCACACTGCTTACTGGTCATCCCTGGATATTGCTCTGTTCCTTCTAACCTTCATGTACAAACAAGACCAGGAAGAGACTGACAAATCCAATTTAGACACTATTTGAATTTCTGACCGTGGATGGGAAAGGAACTTTTCAAACCAGTGGCACAAAACGGATGTTTGACTGCAGAGCTGCAGCGTCCCAAGGCATGGAGGTTTCAGGTTTAAGTGCATGTTTGGGGTTTTTTTCCTGTTTCTAAAGAGGAAAAATGATTTGTATTTCGAAGCACTTTATAGTTTTAAACATTTTGCAGTGCTTGATGAGACCTGAAAGGGTTCCAAACTCTTGTTAACGTGGGCTGTGTAAAGAGCCAAATCCAGCGTGTCCATCCCGTAAGCACGTCGTGCAGTGTGCTTGGGTGACATCCTTGCTAATGACCATAATTGCTGTTTAGTTCATTAAACTGTACAAAAATTAGTTGATTTAAAAATAAAACCCACTAAATTAATTTCCAGTAACAAAAATACATAGTTCAATGCAAACCTAAAACTGCCATGTTCTGATGTTTTATGTACTGGTGAATAACCAATGGTGGTGTCGTTTTTCCAGGACTTTATTCAGCTCCACATCCAATTATCCACACTGAAAGCCCATTCTGACTGCTGGCTTCTGGGGGCCTATTCTACGTGACACATTTAGAAAACTAATGCTGAAGGAAAAAAAAAAAAAAAAGCATGAGGCAAATATTTGAAATACTGTAATTATAATTTATTATTCTCTCTAATCGTTTCATTTTATTCCAGTGTATAAAACATGACTTTTTTACTGGTTTCTTTTGGCATAATTTAAGAACCACATTTATTTTCTACAGTGTTTAAGACTTTTTCTCAGAAATACATATCTTTGTACTACTATTCAAATGAATATATGGACACTGTGGCACACTTTAAGTATTTTTTCATTAAAAATAAATATTTGTGGTTTCACACAAATGACATCAGTCACGTTCTTCTCAGAGGTAAGTGTGTGCCTTTGCTTTTTCAGGTTCCAAGTGCTTCTCAGGCACATTAGATTGGTTTGCAGAGGATCCAGCTGTCCTTTGTTTACCACAATTAAATGCATATATATGTGTGTGTTTGTATAAAAACATATGTATATTTATGTGGAAGGATCTTATCGTGAGGAAAGGGAGCACCATAAAATAAACTTGGTGAGGCCTGAGAATACCAGCATTTAGGTTAGGCTTGTATCTGCAGCTAATTAGAAGTCAAGAGGGAAATACTGGGATGAAAGGATTAAAACAACCTGGAAGGCTCTGGAGTAGAAATGTTGGATGTTTGACCTCTGAGCTGCCTTTGCCTGAGGTATTTATGATCTGGATGGCACATGTGGAAGCTGCAGAACCTAAATTTCAGTTAAAAAAAAAAAAAAATAAGTCTGTGGTGTTGGTGAAGAGTTCTCAGTGTAAACAGATGTGGCAACATCAGCCCAGAGCAGCAGAGCAGTGGCTTGAGATATGGAAACCATCCAGAGTTCCCTTTTTGAGGGGAGACAGTGGCTCTTCTCCCAAATCATATTTATTATGGGCTGCTGGGGGAAGGAATTGGGATCTGGGACTTTGTGTGGTGTTTATGGACTTGGGAATAATTCTGAAGGGGGGAAAAAACAATACAGAGGGGAGGAGTGGAGGGGATGGGAAGGGAAAAGATGACACAAACAGCAGGGAACCAGGATCCAGCATTCAAATGGTGGAAAGGACCTTGCTTCAGTGTGGGTCTGTGAAAAATTCCATCTGGCCTCAGAAAATTGGAGCTCTCCTGCCTGACATGTTTACCTTGGGTGATGAGCAATCGTAAGAAAGGAAAACAACCCTCCAAGAGGAGGGAGCCGGACACCTCTGCTCCAGCAAACAGCCTGGTGTTTACAGTACTGCCTTCCCAGATAAGTTGTTTAATCAGCTCTTCCTAATCAGGACAACTGAAACACAAAAAGGAGAATCTCCTTTTTTATATTTAGCACGTGCAAAGCGTTTCCAAATGTGCGTGGTTGGTGTTTCAGGAGTCGGAGTTGGATCGTGTCGCTGCTGCCTTATCCCTTTACACCCCTGGATCCACACTGGATCCCTTTTTAAAGGCTGTAAACAAAAGGGGGTTAATTCCTGTCATTCTTGTGGTCTGTGTAAACTCTGCTGTTGTCCAGAACATGTTTCAGATTTATGGAATAGCTGCTCCCCTCGCCTCAGAACATGCTGGTACTTGCTGACTGCTCTCCATATAAGGGATGGGATCCTACTTTTAGGTACGTGCCCCTTGGAAAATCGGGGAGAAGATGGAGCTCAGGAGTAAATCATATTGCTGGGAGGAGAAGGGATAATGAGGACCAATACCTGTTCATCCCTTGGCATTTTTCCTGAGTTAATGGACGTGTTTATTTATGATTCTGCTCTAATTAGTAACTCCACGGACCACCTACTTATCTCCAAGCTTAATTCCAAACAAAAAACACACCTTGAAAGAATAAATGGAGATTTATTTTAAGTGTATGCAGAGATGTTAAGCACGCTGTGGGCAGGCTTTCATCTCTTTAATCCTCAAAAAAATATCTCTCATCCTCCTGCAAAGATGAAATCCTGTTTAAAAAGTATATTTTGAAGGTGGCAGAAAAAGGATTGCCCCGTTTCTGTTCTGTGGTGTAGCAGGGATTCAAGTAGGGTCACGTCTCTGCATGCTAAAGTCTAGATTTCATGCTTAAAACTTTCTGGTCAGATGGTCTGTGGCATAATACAGAGCTGGAATGTCCTGGCTTCCAATTACTGACTTGTTTTCCTCTGCAAGGACAATGTTTAGCTTTCCAAGCTGTGTTGACTGGTGGTTTTTCTTGAGAAACCAAGATAAGGGGAATGTTCTGCGCCACTGTCAGTCTCGGGCCTGATACCGACCTGTTTTCAAAACTTGGCCTTGAGCTCTTTGTCCAAATTTGACAAGGTCGTTTTTGCAGATAATGAGCTTTAATTTTATTATTTTTCCTTCATTCCGTCCCTTTGCTCCTAATTATTCTGTCATGGTTTTACTACAACCTCCTTTCCATTTATATACACTCACGCTCTGCTTTCCTGACAGAGTTGCTGGAGTCAGACACCCTGTGCTTTATTTCACAGTCTGGCTGGCCAACTCCAATTATTTTATCTCCTTTCCTAATTAGCATTATCAGGCTGAACTGAAATATGTTCCACATTCTCATCCATGTATTTTGCCTGGTTGCCACCTCTTCTTCCTGCTTTCCTGCTCTCCTGGTGCTCCTTTCCCATCGAGCCGATTCTGCCCGTAGCTGGAGAGTTGGGAATTGATTTTATTCAAGTCGAGTCCATGAATCACTGTGTCAACTGTTTGCATTTAGATAGTTAATGTATATTTGTGTGCCCTCTGCCCAGCAAGTTTATTTGGAATTCCTTGTTCCCCGCTTTTCCATTATTAGCTTGGGGATTAGGTTTCTGCCTCCACGCATCGTTTTTTCCACTGAATTTGGACTTCAGGTGATTTATCTGTGGTTGTACAGGGTCACCTCCCCAGTCTCTGCCAAACATCTTCAGTCACCACCAGGAAGCTTTTACACACCAAGACCCAGTTTGAGCTGCATTTAATAATAATTTTCTACCAGAAAACCACCCCTTTCTTGGTATAGCTTCTCCCTCTCTCTTCCACAGGTATTTTTTAGATATCTTGTCTCTCTCCTCTGACACTCAAACCTCTTCTGAAGAGCTGGGGTTTCATCTCTGCTTGATTTCTGTCCGCTGTTTATCGTTTGCTTCGTGCTTGTCTGAGCATCCTCAAGACTTCAAGGGAAATTTTGGCACCCACTTGAATCCTAAGGGGCAAATCCTAGTGTTGTGATCCCCCAGACTTCTCCTGAAAGCTCAGCATCAGCAAATCCCATCTGGACGTGCTCAGCTCCCAGGATGGGTTTGCATGTTCCCTCTCGCTGCGTTTGTGTCGTCTCTGGCTGCTGCCGTCAGCTGAACCCTGGGACTGACAAAGCACTTTCTGTCATTGTCCATGAATTTTGGCATGTCAGCTGGCAGTGGAGCTGGGCTGGTCTCTCCTAAGGCTTGTTCCTTGCTCCTCGTGTTTCTCCTGCTTCCCTGGGGGCCCATTTGACCCACACTTTGCTATAGAAACACAATGTTCTGTGTTTCCCTGTGTGCCTTTGCTGAAACACTAAAACTGCCAGCACAGCTCACAGTGTGTTGACATGGACTCCTCTTCCAAGAGAAGTCCTAATCTCCGTGGAGAGAAATACCTGGCTATGAAGTTTCAGTTCACCCTGGAGGTCAGCGCTCTCTGGTCCCATTGGAAAGCAAATTCCAACCTCTCTCCCCAGCTGCAGCGCTCTAGCAAACCTTGCCCAGTCCTTTCCCCTTGGGAGTGAGAAATCAGTGGGCACCCTGCAAACACGAGATGTCCCAGGAGCCATCTCTTGTGGTTTGAAAATCCTCGATGATTTATCCGAAGAGGGGTTTTTCATTCGACAATTCTGAGAGCATCTGCCATGGATTAACTTCTTTCTTTGTTTCATAAATAAAATACCATTTCTGCCTGTTCCCTGGGGCCTCATTGATCGTGGGCATGGACACAGAATCATAGAATCCACAGAATGGCTTGGGTTGGAAGGGACCTTAAAGATCATTTAGTTCCAATCTCCCATGGGGTTGAGATGGGAGAGGTGAAGTCCAAATTTCTCAGCAGGCTGCAGCCCTGAGCAGACACTCGAGCTCCAAGGGCCCCACATCCAGTTTGTTGTTCTTGCTGGTTTTATGCCTCTTTCAATATCTTTAGAAAGTCAGTATCTCATCTCAGGCTGGTCCCATGCTGTGTGCTTAAAGGGCAGCTCTGTCTCACCATCTCCCTGTGCCCTTCTGGTTTTCTGTTCGTGTTCCTCTGCCTGCACAAAGCCCAGACTGGTTGGAAAGCAGAGCCATGGGAAGGGGGGAAAGGAGAGCAGCTCTGCTGGCTTTGGATTTGTCTCTCACACCTACCCAAAACTAAAACCAAGTTTGTGCTGCCACCAAAGAATCCCAGAATGGTGTGGGTTGGAAGGGACCTTAAAGTCACCTAGTTCCAAACTCCTGCCATGGGCAGGGATACCTTCCACTATCCCAGGTTGCTCCAAGCTCTGTCCAACCTGGCCTTGGGCAATTCCAGGGATCCAGGGGCAGCCACATCTTCTCTGGGCAACTTGTGCCAGGGCCTCCCCACCCTCACAGCCAAGAATTCCTTCCCAATATCTAAACTAAATCTCTCATGAAACCAGCCAGCCCTCAGGGAGGGATTGGGGCTCCCCCCCTCGCCGTGGGGCTGCCCCAGTTCCTGCCCTTTGTGAGTCCAGCTGGGCAGGAACAGGCCCCCCCCGCCGGCTCCCAGGGCAGGGGTTTCCTGTTGGAAATGCAAAATTGCAAAAACCTCTGAAAGATGAGAAGAGCCAAAACATGCACAGATGTTTTATCTTCCCACCTTTCCATCCCGCTCCCGGTTGTGTTGAGCTGAAGGGTCGAACGGGGAGCATCCATCTTTTCAGTCGGAAAATGCCCGTGTCCCGCTGGATGTGGATGTTTTATTACTGCAGGATTTGTCAGAAATTTTCACATTCGTAATTACTTTTAAGTAACAAATAGTTAAGTTTTAAAAATAACTCCACGTACTTTCAGCATTGCAAGATGCACTTTCAGTACGGAAATTCTTAGACTAATTTGCAAAGAGGGACAGACGACTTACAAAACAAACCCCACTTTTTAGGACAAGGGGGGATGGTTTTAAACTAAAAGAGGAGAGATTCAGATTGGATTTTAGGAAGAAATTTTTGGCTGTGAGGGTGGTAAGGCCCTGGTTGCCCAGAGAAGCTGTGGCTGCCCCATCCCTGGAAGTGTTCAAGGCCAGGTTGGATGGGGCTTGGAGCAACCTGGGATAGTGAAGGTGTACCTGCCCATGGCAGG